TCATTGGTGGGTGCATAACATTGGATAATATTCATTAAGATCCCCTCCTTCTTTGTTTTGAATGATGCTTTGATGATTCTGGATCCGTGAGACTCCCATCCTACAAGTGCATTTCGTGCTACTTTGGACAGCATAAGAGCGACTCCCTGAGTGTGTGGAGCATTGTCCTCTTCGTGACCGGAGTATAGCAGCATCTCTCCCGTAGCTAGCCTTTTCTGTCCAGCTTGGGTCCAGTGGGTTTCGCTGATTCCCAGTACTGCTAAGTTGTATCTCCTCATTTCCATTGCTATTTGACTGGTCTTCCCGGTTTCCCACATTGTTCGAACGTTCCATGTACCTATAAAAATTTTTGCTCTGGTTGTTAGAAGGGGCATCGGCCTCGTGGCTTCCGAAGGAACTCGACATACTCTATCAGGCGCCGTTTTTTAGGGAGTTAGTTTTCTACGGGATGGGTCGCTAACCCCATGCCCAACTCTTCTCCTTTACCCAGGCATGGGACCGGTTGTAATTCTTAAAGACCTACATGCTTAATTAAGAGGTCTGGTGACGCTTAAACGTTCGAGCTTCAAGAGCAGTCTATTTGTATAGAGCCTCTATTCAGTGCTCTCTTGCTATGATGAAGTTTGTTGCGTAAGATAATTCTCTTCTAAAACCATTTTGTTCACCGTTTAAGAAGTTGCTGGTTTCCACGGATGTCATTATAGCGATTGTAACAGAAAGAGAACGATGAAAATCCTCCGCAGCTTTTTGTCGGACAGTACTGTCATTAACCCGTTTCTTCTCCCAGTTGTGTATTTTAACCTTTGTTCAGATCTCGTTTAACCACATCTTCTGTTCTTCAGTCTTCCTCGTTTGAGCTTTTATTACGTGATTTTGATTGAAGATTTATCTTTTGTCATCTGATTTTCTATTGCATGTTGCCGGACTATTTGCAGTAAGGCCGTGTTTGACTAAGTTCAAGGTCACGGCGTGATACAGCGTGCGACTGTTAAACTTTTTACTGTCTGCTTGGGAGGATTGCTGCAATCCCTGCAGATAGAGATTTGATCCCATGTTGTTGGGAATATTTTTACTGATTCTTAGGTATCGAACTCTTTGGTATTAACTGTTCTTTTATTGTTTAGCGCGCTACTTCTGTTGTATAGCACAGGCTGAACCGTTTGAGGTATTTTGCATTTCTGATCTAATTTGTTCTATTTCCTAAATTAGAACCGTTTAAATTAAGCACGAAGTTTGTGTTTTGATATAAGATAATACGAGTGTCTCAAAAACGCTTTGCAAGCTATACAGAAGAACGTCGTCGGGCCTATTCGAATAAATGTTGGTTCGTCAGTCCTGTGTTCAAACAATTCGGTCGTTACAGCCGTTTAGATTAATTTTTCCAGTATTTTAACGACGACACTGATAAGGTCGACAGGTCTGTAATTTGATGGAATTTATCTTGGTCCTCTTTTGTGTATTGGAGTGACGATTGCATCCTTCCATTTTGTAAATAACACACGTTAGTAAAGTGGCATATGGAATATCACAGTCATTGGGTTTGCGATGTATTTTTGCATGTGTTCTCAGGATTTAGCGGTGTAGTTCTTCTGGTCCCGTTGGCTTTTCTGTGACTAAAGTATTAAGAGACTTGAGTGCATCGTCACAATCAAAGTTCACAGCGATCAGCCATTTTTGCGACTTTATATTTGAACTTTGTACTTCAACTAGATGATACACCTGAGTAAAAACTGTCCTGAAGTAGGTTGACATGACATCCATTTCTCCTGGACAACCCGTCATTTCTGGTACACTCCCTTCCTTAAGTGGAACAAGAATGAAATGATAGACTTTTGTCCAGCAGCTTTTTGTACCAGAACAATCACTTAAACTATACGAATATTCGTCAAGATTAGAACGAATAGTTTGACAGTAATTGAGCGCCGAGTATAGAGAAGTCATTACAAGTGAAAATTATATTTAAAATATTCTCAGCGATTGAAATATAACTAATTCCAACGTTTCATCCAGCTAACTTATCTGGACTTCTTCAGGGTAATAATCAAGATCAAAATTATCAAAGACATATATAGCATTTAACAATCAGTATTATACTGTGTTAAACCAATCACATTTGGATGTTGATTTTTTGTAAAATAGGGTAAAATGAGTCAGTTAACTACAAATCATGTGAAGAGTTCAACTACATAGAAATAATTAACTGAGTAACAAATCGTATGTGTGTGAGTGTGCAGGTATGTATGCATGTGTAGGAGATTGATATGAAGGCATAAATAAATAAATAACGTTCAAGTTCGAGGTTGAAAATTTTTTTGATAATGAAACATCGATGTACATGCCAAAACATAAATTGTATTGTTTAAAAAACTCATTGAATTCATTCAAAAATAATAACGATGCATGTGATATTAAAAAACAGGTTTAAACAAGAGATGGGTTCCAAAGTTACTTGTCAACCGAAATTTGCCATGTAGTTGCCAGTTGAATACCATCTTTTCGGTTCAGGCTGTTCTTGTTCGCCCATATATGCAGCGCTTCTGCTGTCAATCTTTCTTTATGGTGTTAAAACCTTTCTGAAGTATTTTGGCCCCTTCAAAATTAATCTTGTGCCTTGTTTCTAACGCATGTAACGCTATCGCTGACTTATTTTCAAGTTTCTTTAAATCGACCGAGGATTTTGGAACATTTTTCAAGCATTGTTTGTGTTCCTTCAATCTTACATTCAGTTGCCTGGATGTTTCTCCAACATAGGTAGCATTACAGTCATGACAGCGAATCTCATACACAATGTTCTGTTGTTATTCTTTTGCTCATTTGTCCTTAATTTTCACTAATGTCGATCTTAATGTGTTATCAGCCCTAAAATACACTCTTATATCAAAATCCAAAGGTGATTGGTTTAACACAGTATAGTACTGATTGTTAAATGCTATATATGTCTTTGATAATTTTGATTTTGATTATTACCCTGAAGAAGTCCAGACAAGTTAGCTGGATGAAACGTTGGAATTAGTTATATTTCAATCGCTGAGAATATTTTAAATATAATTTTCACATATAATGCAATCTCTTAAACTGTTTGATTTCATGTTTTGTAAGCTCAAAGATACCACAAGTACTCGGAGTTTGAGGACGCCTTATCGAGTAACACTTTTTATAATCGAAATGTGGCAACCCAAATGGATCAGAACTTAGAAGCAGGGAGGTCCAAATTTATATTTAGTAGACTGTCAATATATTGAGATTTTATCAATCTAAGCTGGCTAGTTGTTGTAGGAGATATGAAGCACGGTGTGTTCACTCGTGATCTGGTGTGGATGCATGACAAATCAAACATCATCTGCAAAATAAATTGTACCAACTGCGAAAAACAATACATCGGACAAGGCGGACGCCCTCTTCACCTTTGCCTGCATGAATATCAATTAGCAGTCAAACGCCATGACGTGTTCTCACTTTTATCAATGCACGTGGACAACTGCGGACACTCATTTGACTGGAAAAATGTTGAATTCTTGGATGGAGGAAATTCTAAAAACTCCAGAGAAGTTTCTGAAGCCTGACACTCAGGTCAATCAACAATCAACAAACGCGTTAAAATCGACCCAATTTATCAATCAGTCAAGAAAATTATGCATAAACATAAGAACAAATATTTAAAAAAATTGGGGACACAACTAAAACAAAGAAGTAAACAGTGACAGATATAGGGTCAGCGAGAACCAATTAAGTTCGAGGTTTGCAGGACAAGCTTTGAACCGCATGTAGAGAAATTCGAACGCTTTACTTTTATCTGAAGTTTGTGCTGATGAAGTCGTTCAGAGGAACGATGAAAGCTGCACGATCAATCCATTGATTCAGAGAACAAAACTCCATCAAAATTATTCACCTGAGCTACAAATCTTCATCATCTCGCGAAGGTGATGAACTCTGCAGCATCGCAGCGTCATAGTGGATGACTTTCTCCTAATTAAAATTAAACCCTGCTCAAACAGGTTTAAAAGTTATATAGCAGGTGACTCGAATGCACCGTCTGCAAGTTGAGGAAACTTAGATGTAGGGTCGTCAAGAACATTATTTGGTTATAAGTTGGTGGAAATCACTGTAGCGGTAAATACATCCCCAAAATCAATAGCTGTGTAAGTCTTCGATATTTGATGAAAACCGCATTAATTATAATGGACTCATCTGGCTAAAAGCTGAAGGTTTTAATAGGATCGACTGTAGTGATTTTGTCAGTTTGTGTGCAAACCCTACTCCAGAGGTTTTCAGCAGTCTCATCGTGGCTTGTAGTATGTCTTTTGTGCATGGAAGGGTGATCCTTTTGTTGATTTCTGTGCTTGTCTTGGATTCTTATGATGGGTGCGGCTGGTATTTTTTGGTGAAGTTGATTGGGCAGCCGTTCTTTTGAAATACGTCCTTCAGGTATTTCTCTTCATTTTTTCGGGCTGCCAGTGTACTTCAATGTGTTCTCGCCCTCTTGAACAAAGCACGTAGGCAATTAATTTTGTGAGCTCACAAAACTTAAAGCGGTACTGAGGAGTTTTCAGAATGCCTTATACAACCAAAAAATCAATTTCAGGGTGGGTTTATGGCTTAGTGCATTAAGATTCAGTGGGTCGATACGCTCTTCCTTGGGTTCGAGTACGAGTCTTCGTAATGATTTTTGGCTTTCTAGAAGTTCCAGTGTTTTCTTATTCTTTTGGAATAAGAGAAAAAACACTATTTTTCCATGGAATTCTAATTCCAACTATTTGTTGGAGATTAAACATCTTGGAGAGTATTTAAATGAGATCGGGTACGGATGACTGTTGACTGAGCGTCTTCATTCAGTCATGTCTAGTGAAACTAAAATTCCCGTACACCATGTTGAGGACCTGCTAGGTTACGTACTTTGAAAAATTAAATGCATAACCATTGCTCATTCTAGTGATAAAGAAGTGATAAATATGAGCTTCGTTTCTCTGACGTACTTGTTTTTGTGAACCAACGTCAAGGTTAAATCTTAGGTGGCTTCGGCTTTCTTACACCGCTCTTTACTAATTGTGACGGTATGTGTGGTCTTTGCTTATTATTAGCAAGCTGGTGTATATTCAGCCTTTATGAGTATTTTCGGTGGTACCTTTTCAAAGGAAATCTTGTACTTGGAGTGAATATATACATTTCGTAGACAAATGTTTCGTTTTGTTAATTATATACAAATTGTTGATTTGCTGCATATACTTTATTTATAATCCACACCGATTGTGGAAATTAAGTTGTGAAAAAAAATCAGCAATAAAGAATTTACATCCAAATTGAGCGACGTGTACTGAATGTGATACGAAAACTATAGGGTTTAACTTATGACATGTCGGATCTCAATTTCTGGCTACTAAACAGGTTTAATTTAGAACTTATACGCCTCCATAATACTTTTTCACCTAAAAAATTAAGAGTACTGGGTTTAATCAAAAGCGTTGTGGCAATTGTTTACATTTATATTTTTCCTTTCGTCATTCGTATAGCTCCTGTTTTCACTATTTCATTGTTTATCAAACTTCTCGACACAAATGGATATGCCGTGTTTTCAGATTTTCTACAAGCTCAAAGGCTCAGCATCAAACTTCCTACTGCCGTAATAAGTTTTATTTCACTACAACCTACCTTCTGAATAAAGCACTGAGTATTTTGATGTTGGTGTTTACAGGTTTACACGAACCAAATTTATACCGTAGTCTAATGTACAGGTTTTGTGGTCATCAGAGTTATTCTCCTATTCCCTATTACATACTGTGTTCAGTGATTTTAGAGTTTTCTTCATTGGGTTTTTTTCAGGCTGTCGAAGTTTGTAGTGTTTCACAGCTACTAACAGTAAGCTCTTTTCGTAATACATGTTAAAGGGATTTATTTTCATTAGTAAACTGACTCAATTTCACTGGGCCCAGTTATGTATCCTGTCAAACCTGTATTAAACTACATATGTACCTTGTAACCAATCCAGATAATGCTAGAAGATTCCTATCAATACTTCCTATTGTCTGAAGATCTTTGATGCACCATTTTGTTGTTCGACCCAAGAAAATAACACGAGGTTTGCATGGCGAAATAACCCATCTGTTTTCTTTTATTTTCATAGCCTACATATGAGTATGGATTGCCCTGCCGTGAATTTCCATGGCATTGAACTACAATCTCACGAGAAAGGGGATAGTAAACAGAATTCTTTTTGTGCCCTCCGAACCCCTTCTAATCTAGAGGTGAGCTAAATTTGGCCATTTGGATATATATGTTTCTGACTGCACAAATTTTTACTGTCATAATATGAAATAGTTTTTTTTAAAGATTATATCATGACTGAACATGCATCTAAACTTATTCGACGCATTACGTTCATGTCTTCATTGCAAATCATTTTATTTTGGCTAAATAGTACAGATGCATGGTTTTGTTTATAGAGGCTGGTATTCACCATGTCAGTGTGACTGACTGCATAGTGGCTTGTTATACCAACCGTTATGCCCTATCATTCTTTGTCTTCCCTTAAATTCCAAGTTCCAATATAATTGCAGATTTTAGGCTTAGTATCGTTCCAAAACTTTCTGTGATTAATAATTAGGCATTTCTTCGACCTGCAGTATTGGTTTTCGTAAGACAGTTTGAATAACGTGCGGATGGTAAAAGGAATAAATAACATCAGTCCGTCAACTTTAACCATTATATTGAAATACTTAGTTGGGTCATGTCTATCTGGTTAGGTTCTATACGAGAATCGTGATTAACAGTGACAGACCTGTGATATGATTCAATATCGGTCGTAGTAGCGTAGCTGCATCCATTCTTCTGTTTTTTCCCGTACCTCGAATTTCAATATAGTTTCATACTTTTCACTCCACGAAGTCGTTCCTTTTTGTTGAGTGATATATTCGATTTAGCCTTCGTCACAATCATGGAGAGTGTCATTACCTCAACTTATGTGCCATGTATCTTGTTCCTTTCGTCTGATATGGTTTAAAAACTTTGATCAGCTCTTATTTATGTTAAGTTTCATGTGAATTACGACATAGTGATTGATTTTAGTTGAGATTTTACTGTATTTATTATTATTATCTTTATTCAATATTATATTTTTGGTACAATTTAGAATTCTCAGCGCAAAGCATTTCAGCGAGTTTCCATTTCTTATTTCTTGATCGATCCCGACGATAAATATTGAGTGATCGTCAGTCAGTCAGTCAGCTACAACGTAGGACCAGGCACATATATGCATCGGTCCAAGTTGCCATACCCCATTATTGAGTGATCGCCAATTAGATGTTGGCAGTTCAGGAGTCGACATCTAAATAATGTACATTCTTTTCGATGTATATTGCCAGCGGCCACAAAGTCTCCGATTGTACTTTTCTGTAACTTTTACAACGAAAGATCGTAAAGGTTTCACAAACGAACGTGAATAGGTTGTGCAGTTTATTGACATACTGATCTATGGAAACAAACAAAAGACAGATAACGTGTTGAAATATCTAGATGGCAGGAATAAGCAGTCCAGATATTCAAGCAGACCTCTTAATAGCTTGTAGAATTAAAGTATTCTTAATATGTTGAGGGTTAAGATTCCTTAATAACTTTCTAAGCACGTCTTATCACCTGACCGCATCTTCATTGTAAGTTTATGATGCACGTTTGTAGCCATTTAGTGTCCCAATCACTAGGGTACAGGTTCAAATAAGTTCGTAGACGACCAAATGGGTTGCTTAGATATGTTAATCTCTATAGGGATTAAGTTACTCATCAGTTATGTATATAAAATCTAAGCACTAAGATCACATTTTTTCTTTCGAATGATATCACTTGTAAATTAGTTTATCGACTGCTTTATTTATTTCATTATACCTTAAAAAAACATTTCAACTGATAGGAACATGAGATACTCACTTCTTCTGGTTTATACCAACGGGTTTACGTTCAACCTAATAAGAATAAAACTGCAATTATCACTTATCATGATATTGGAACTAATCGTAAGTACATGAGTTCAAAGAAACATTATACTAGCACATGTGTACATGTATTATTATTATTATTATTATTATTATTATTATTATGGCAAAACTACCATGCCGACTGCTTTAAGCGACCAATCAAAACCAAGCTAATCTATTCGAAATACTAGTGCGAATTCAATAGGCATTTTTAGACAGCTTGTTATTGGAAAAGTTGATTTTGATAGTCGCATTTTGAAAGCATTGGATGATGTTTTTCCTGGAATAAACCATTAAGGTTAATGTATTAGGCTTAATAGTCAGGTTTCAGAACTACTAGATTTGTAAGTTATTCGGACTACGGTGCTATTGTTTCTGGCTTGATTTATTGATAGTTAGCCCTAGGGTATTCATTAATGATGTTAAAACTCTTAGTCCTCTATGTTTTAGATTGCTTTCACAAAAGCTGTGTTCTGAGTGGCTATTTTCTGGTTGGTCAATGTCAAGATCAGCCTTAAATTTTTTCAATGTCGTTAGTATACTATGATCCTGCTATTATTATTCTTGTTTTCTTAAACCGATATCTTAAATATTTTTTGGCAACGTATTGACTCCATCAGGAATGATGAAGGGATGAGCGATGAGTGAACTATGAACATGATTTCTAGGTTTAGTTTCATATATTTTACGGTAGTAACAAAAGACCGAATACGAATCAAGTTGGTAGCACTTATTCCAGGCATTCTTTGATGCAGACAAACAATGAGAGACGTGAAGCAGAAAAAGCAGGCGTACCAACTCAATTTAATTAAATCATGACTCAGCATTTATGAATATGGAAGATATGAGCAAGTTTATAAATACACACATACTATAATAAACCATCTCAGGGTCATATGTGTAAGTGATAGAATGATCGGAAAGATCACGATAGTTCATCTTTCTAAAGGTAAGTATAAGTTGCGTAAGCGTGTGACAATAATGCGACCAAATTATACTACACTGACAACCTAGGGCAACTCATCGGATAATCAGAAAACAGTACCTAGTCATGAAGCAATTAACAACAGAAAGCAATAAAACTACAGTTGAGGGATGGTTTCGATATGATGGTCCCTTGTATCATAGAGGGAAGTAGTTAGGTTTGCATGACAGGAGTCAGGCTAGTGTTGTGAGTTGGGTTTATAACACCATAGAGTTTTCGTCATCAGCTAACATTAGCTACAACGCAAAAAGTTCATCGGTGTCGATTGAAATCAGCTATAATACCACGACACTTTGTCGCCCTTATTTTACAAACTTAACAATCTTGAGATTGAGATTCAAGAGTTTGGATGTAAAAATGTTAGTTAGCTACATAAATACTAGTGAATATGTACTGAATCACAGGAAGTACTTTAAAGCACAATCTGGATTATGAGCAGGTATTTTTCGTAGTCTAGTCCAAACACCATGTCATATTCACTATGTGGTTGCGTGGTAGATATCTTAGAAAGGAAAATAAAGTTTGAAACATTTTAGTAATCAAAAATTTTCAATTTTCATTTAGTTGACATAACATGCAAAATATCTAACACTTGGTTTTTAATTTCGTACAAAGATATACAAAACTCTATCTCAATTTTGCCTGATTCACTCAAGGGCGTCAGTATAGTGTACTTTTACCAGTAATACTAACTGCTACATTTTCATGTTTCATTGTGAAAATTGGGTTATTGATCCTTTTCGACAAGATTTATTTATTGTTCATGATCACTTTTTTTGGATGACATGAAAAAATACCTGTTCAGTATGGTTTTTACTTTGTTTATTTTATTGTTATTGTTTCAAACAAGATACAATTTGTTAACCAATATTTAAAGAATGTGTCAGGATCATTCCCATCATATGTGTTTCATGTAGATTCGTTAGATTTTTGAGTATCTAGGTTGAAAGCAGTATATAATAATACTGTCTCTATGCAATATTCTCTAAGAGAAAACTAGCCCCCAAATGCCTTGGTATGGTAGAGAGTGGGGAGGGTCATCTCTCCCTATCGAGATGCTTTCACATGGCCACGTGCATACAACCACTGTCAGAGAAGTCCTACTGTTGTAACGTGAGTGACTGCAGATAAGAGCAGCAGTGTATTTATTGATCGATTCAGTGACACGTAAACACGTAATGAACGACCTAGAGTCCCGATTGGCCCTGCTTCGCTGTCTAGCCCAGCCAGTTGAGTCCAGAACACAAGTCACAGCCTCTGAGATATGAATCGTTAATGAACATTAATCAAATGTGGATTACCGAATTCCTAACATCTAACTGGTCATCATTCGAAATTTATCGTCACAATCGATCAAGATATAAGAAAAAGAAACTTGTTGAAATACTTTATGCTGAGAATTCTATGTTGTACCAAAAGTATAATGTTGAATAAAGCTTCTTATAATAATAATAAAAAATAAAATATATTTCAAACATACTCTGTTTATATACCAACCAAACAGACCACATCATACCATAAAAATAGAAAACAACATTTACACAATATTTAACAAGTGAGATAAATATCGACCAATAGGGAGTGTACATTTAAAGTCCAAGGCCACCATTAGACTTAACATGATAATTATTGGTATATTTTTCTGCACATCCTAACACCTGATCACTGCCTTCTCGCCAAGGGGGTGTTGTTTACAAAATTGAGAGGACGAAAAGCGAATGTCCGGTGCTATAACCGGGTTAGTGGATATGGAGAGTCCACCTATGGAAGTTGTGAAACCCTGATTTCAAACCAATGGTGTATATAGGCTCCAATATCCTGAGAGAACAAATGGAGTATGAACCAATTGTTGATCACCGGCTACCATAGGACTGCATCCTCTTACGTTACTCCACTGCCTTGTGGATTAGACCTTTATGTCGAAGGCTCCGGATGTGGCCCTCTGAGAAAATCACCTGCTTCGGTTTGGGCACTTGGGCAGTATCCCAGCCCACACACAAATCGAATGATTTATGTGGCGCATATCTATTTGGTGCCTCCTTGTACCAATGTTTATGTGTTTAAATAAATAAATAGATAGATAAATAAATAAGGGGCAAACTAAAATGATATCTCACTCTAAAATAACACTAAAGTTTTGTATTTTCATATTCATCGTAGTATTGTTTAATACTATTCATTTGTAGAACAAGTGGTCGCCTTATTGATGTTTAAAGCAATCAGATTTCGGCAAAATCCTAGCAGGTTATAAATGTACTCTATTTAATTCAGTTTAAAAAATTCAAGTTGTGTTATCAGGGATTTACACGAAAACTCTTACCGAAAATTAAAACGATATTATACTTGGTTGTTAAATAGAGATAGATGATCTATAAAGCTCTGTATACTAAAGTTTAGCACTTATGTAAATTGATTGCAGGAAATTTATAGTCAAATGGCATCCAAGTTATTGGAATAGTCGGGTGGATCACATTTCACTTATTATAACGATTGATTATACTTAGTTAAATCATCATAATTATTCTTATGTGAACCACAGCATATTAGTAGCAACACAGAACTGTGGTTGGCGAATGATGACTTTTGTTTATATTAGTACTTCGGTAGGGATATGGATTTCTTGTTTTTCTCTACTTTTATCATATTGATGTTGTTTTAATTAAAATGAATCTATATTACGGCTGTGTTAGATTATCTACTTCTTTCAATATTTCTTCAACATTTCATAACGACATTTTTCGATAACAGTTCCAACTCACTTTACATTTATTTGGGTCAATCAATTTATGACATTCTTCAGTAGCGTCTAATAGGATCATTTATATTTTCTCGTTATGAAGTAGTTAAATTGAAGTCGTCAATTTAGTTAGTCCTTGTAGAATTAATAAATAAAAACTTTTGTTTTGATCAATCTTTACACGACGTCACTAGTGGAATATGTTATTGATTATTTCTATGAAAACTTCTATTGGGAATTTAGAGAAAAACATTATGAAAAATTAGATCAATACTTAGATTAAAATACACCAAAATGTGATATGTTACTTTGTGTGTTGTAATGAATATTGTTCTTGTCCCTATTTGTGAATATTCCAGTGACCCCTTTTCTTGCTCTCGCGCTCACTCAATTTAGTCCTATGTCATGACTACTAATGCATTTCTTGAGTGAAATATTTTAACACTCATCTGGAGATTATTAAGAATTTTTACTTCTATCAATAAGATAATGTATACAATGTGAATGGCTTATTGAACTAAATGCTGTCTGATCTTTTATTTATGAATAAGTGGAATCAGTACATATTCATACAATAGACTGCAAGTTGAATTTCCTATGTGCTATGTGCTACCCAACCACGAAAAATGAAATGTGTAATCGATTTGAAATCCTTTACTGAATAGTTACTATACAATAAACATTTGAGATACTAAATTCTTACCTGATTCCTATTTTCCTACAACTTTCAACAGTTGATCACTAAACGTGGGAACAGAGAGTGGAAATATGAGAGAAGCTTCACTTTGAAAGTTAGATTTATGTGCAGAGAACAAAGAGTATTAATTTGTTTAGATGTAACCTTTGGGCTTGAAAGGCCGGCGTAGCAGTTATTCAGTGGGTCACCTCTAGCTTTCTTCCAACCTACTCCTATACCTCTGAACATCGCACGTCGAGGCAGTCGGTGGTTGGATATACGTAACACTTGTCCCAGCCATCTCAACTGATGAAGTTTCACTACTTCATCAATTGATTTGCCATGCTTAACTAGTACCCGTTTCTTAACGACTGCATTACTTACCCAGTGGTACCAGGATATACGAGCAATGTTTCGAGGACACCTATGATCGGATACTAGCAACCTACGAATATCCTCTACTCTTACCGGCCATAAATGATGTAAGTTGGCAAAAGCTAATCGAGTCTTCTGTATCCGTGTTGACATTTCATCACACACCAGACCAAAAGGATTGATGAATTCATAGGGTTTCAGTTTTCTAATAGAATTTTCATAAATTTATCCATTTAATATTTCATTATTTTTCCATTATATAATCAGCTGATTTCAGTTACACTTATTTTTAATTTGATAATTTAATTATCATTATCATTATGATTTAAATTAGATGAATATACACATGCCTTAGATACGGATATATATGTCATTGGTAACATTTCAAGAATATGAAATTTTTGATTAGTTTTCCATTTATATTCTCATGCTTTATTTACTATTATGATTATTATTTAATGTCCTAAATTTAAAACTAAATATACCATTATTATTATTATTATATTTCGAATAAAATTCATCTATGAACTTATTTATTATTCCCGTTTAATGAACTTTTACACGTACGTGTCATATCTTAACTAGTTACAAGTTAACCTTAATATATTTCCATCAAACCATTAAACACCTTCAATTAAAATAATCTTAATAAAATGAAAACAAATAAACAAGTGATATGAATCCATATTTAATTTAGTTCATTTTTTTGTGTGGAAATTTTCAATATATATTTATTGATTCAGAAGGGGTTTTTGTGGATATTATAATAGTTTTAATAGTTGAGATCATGAGTCAATTGGAGCTAGACCATCATGGAAAATCTGGAAGCACTGGATGGTCTAAAGGTTAAGCGTCCGCTTGCGAGTCCGATAGGTCCTGGGTTCGAATCTCGCGGGAGAGGGACCAGTCAGTCAGTAACAACGTAGAACTTCGTACGTACGTACACCAGTTCGAGTTGCCACACCACATTAGCATAGAGATGCAGTGGTCGATTCAAATCCCGTTGTGGTAGAGGTAATAAGAGTATAAGCAGTAATCGGGAAGATTAGGGTTTGGAGATGTTACTTAAAGAGTATAATACAGTGAAATAAATTTGAGAGGAGGAAAAAAAGAGACAAGGAGGAATAAGGAGATCAAAATTTGGTAGAACACAAAGAGTGGATGCACCTGCGCCATTGCAAACGATTTTGAGCCATGTCATTCAGGGTCTCTAACCATCGGTTTCTATCATCTCGCGATCCCCAACCAGGTAGTCTACACCTACCAACATGACTCAGTCCACTTGTCAGTGACTTCATGGATTTGTGCCATGTTTTGGTCTGGCCGCCCCTAGCTTTCTTCCAACCTACTCCTATACCACTGAACATAGCACGTCGAGGCAGTCGGTCGTTGGACATACGTAACACGTGTCCAAGCCATCTCAACAGATGGAGTTTCACTACGTCATCGATTGATTTGCCATCCTTACCTAGTACCCGTTTCCTAACAACTGCATTACTTACTCGATGGTCCCACGATATACGAGCAATATTTCGAGGACACCTATGATCAAATACTAGTAACCTACGAATATCTTCTACTTTTACCGGCTATGTTTCACTGCCATAAAGTAGGACGGAACGAACTGCTGCGCAGTAAACACGTCCTTTGGTTGATAGACGGATATATCGCCTACGCCATAAATGACGCAAGTTGGCAAAAGCTAGTCAAGCCTTCTGTATCCGTGCTGAGATTTCGTCACACACCAGACCACAATTGCTGGTGAGACTTCCAAGATAAGTGAAGCGATCGACACGCTCAATTACTTCACTCCCTATCATTAGTTCGGGTGTCAATGCAACCCAATCCTGAAGCAACATTTTGCGTTTCGAGGGGGAGAATCGCATCCCGAACATGCTTGCATTGTTGCTTAGAGTGGTAAGAAGAGGGATCGTGGATGTGCACTGCTGGTGAGTCCCGCAGTAGCATGAAACAGCTGTCCAGTGCTTCCAGGTTTCCCATAGTGGTCTAACTTCAATTGATTCATGATCTGAACTATTGAAATTACCAAAATATGCACAAAAACCACTTCTGATGCTAATCAGCCTATGTCCACCAGTGACTGGCTTCAAGAGGTATTTCCTGGAGTTCTACTGAGAAGCAGTGACTAGTGGAGTTCAACCAGTTCTATTGTAAGATAGTAACTCAGTGAAGAAAATGATGGATGTGTCGCTCAATTTCGTGGATTAGTTAAAGTTAAATAAATATTGTTGTTGAATGTAAATTAGACTTTTATTGGTTATTGATATGCTACTTTCTCCTGGTAGTAAGTAGTATGTTTACGGTATTTTTGCAACTACCATTATAATCGATAGTCTATGAGGTTTACGCGCTCGTCTGTTTAGTATGGAATATTCATTTTTTAAGAGAGTTTTCTGTTTGATATTATGTAAACTTGAATGAGTTCTTAGTCTTGAATTTATTCTATGATGTTAATATTATTTCTTGTTTTATTGACAGTGTCATATTGTAATAATCGCAAAAGCTTTCTAGTATATTTATTGATATTTTGAACTGATGGTACACATAGAAATTATCCATTAGCTATCTTATTGATTGAGTTACATTGGTTAGTTGTAAGCCGATAAATCATTCATATGATTATAAGTAGAGAAACGGATGTTTTTCCAGTTGTTGTATTCTCTGGGTTAGATGGTTTGGCCATCAGCAAATAATTAAAAAAAGACTTCTTTTCGATGTATGTTGTGGCAATGTTGTTTTGAAAAACGATAAAAACTTTTCGACGAAATCATCCAGCTCTGAGGGCAATACATATCCAAAATCTTCATTTTGAGCTACAAATATACATCATTATCCCTAAAACAATAATTTCAGGATATCATATAATTAAGTGGCAGTTCAATTTATTACAGCATAGTGAAATGAAGATTTATTGGCCAATGAAAAGAATATAGGTATGATATCAGACTATTCAGATATAGATGATGTGAATTAAATATCCCTGTATCCCCCAAATGCCCTGGTACGACCGGGAATGGGGTGAGTCTGCTCTCCCTCTCCAAATGCTCTCACATGGCCACGCGTATATAGCATCTGCCAGGGAAGTCCTAATCAATGCCTTCTCGTGGCGGGGATGGTGTTTACGAAATCGAGAGGACGAAAAGCGAATGTCCTGTGCTTTAACCGGGTTAGTGGACATGGAGAGTCCACCTATGATAGTTGGGAAACCCTGATTCCAAACCAATGGTGTACATGGGCTCCAATATCCTGAGGGGACAAATGGAGTATGAACCAATTGTTGATCACCGGTTACCATGGGACTGAATCTCCTTACGATGCTCCACTGCCTTGTGGATCAGGCCTTTAGGTTGAGGGCACTGGGTGTGGTCCTCTAAGAAAACCACCTGCTTCGGTTTGTGCACTTGTGCAGTATCCCAGCCCTCACACATATCAGATGGGATTTGTGTGGTGCATATAAATTTGGTGCCTCCTTGTACCAATGTTTATGTGTTAAAATAAATAAATAAAGAACATCATCGGTTTCAAACAACGTCACCTAGGTTATCCAACAACATATTTAAAGGACATGAGAACACCAAACATAGGACCTGTACTTTTTATAAAGGTTAAGGCCACTAGTCAATGGTATTATGAAGTGATACCATATCTAAACACTGATACCGTCAGTCCTCCAAACTAATCCCACTCTGTGAAAATTTACTCTGTTATCTATTTTTCATTCAGCATAATATATTTCTCATAATCTTTTCTCATTATGTAGTTCTACTGACTGAACAAGGCTCTAATGTTTGTGTCTTAGTTGCAAGGAGTGTTAGATTTATTAAGCAATATACTTACCTTTTAATTTTTATTTAAAACTGATCTGTGCTGGCTTATATCACGTTTAGTTTGTAATTATCTAGTTAACTACTACTTCATGTTTATGGAATAATTGACAAGATTAGTACATTGGGACAAATATTCTATCTCTCAACAAAATTCATTTACATTAGTCTTCAAAATCTGATACTTTCCTTTAAGTCATAGGTTTGCATTTCGCTTTGTCCATTGTAGTTTGATTAATTACAAGGTGTCACAATAACAGAAATCTGAGAAGTTTAAATATCATTTATTGGCTATTGGTTTTTCTATATATTCAGTACTGTTAGTAAAAAAGGGGATAAAATGAAGACAATGGGGCATGTTTTTTTTGTTTTACTGAGTTAATGTCACAGAAACTAGATGCTTAACTTAATGATCTCTGTTAGATTTTGTCAATCTTTTTCGAACTTCATAATTTATGCATAAGAAAAGATGAATGATTATATAGCTGTTTGGAAATGTAAATTAAACATTTGTCATACAATCGCCCCCAAATACCCTGGTACGGCCAAGGGTTAGGAAAGTCCGCTCTCCAAATGTTTTCACATGACACGCGTATATAGCCACTGCCAGGGAAGTTCTACTCACTGCCTTCTCATGGCAAGTATGTTGTTTACGAAATCGAGAGGACGAAAAGTGAATGTTCGGTGCTTCAATCGGGTTAGTGGACACATAGGGTTCTCGCTGGGGAGTTGGAAAACCCTGATTCCAAACCAATGGTGTATATGGGCCCCATTATCCTGAGGGAAAAAATGGAGTATGAACCAATTGTTGATCGCCGGTTACCATGAGACTGAATCTCCTTACGATGCTCCACTGCCTTGTGGATCAGGCCTTTAGGTTGAGGGCACTGGGTGTGGTCCTCTAAGAAAACCACCTGCTTCGGTTTGGGCACCCGGTCAGTATCACAGCTTACACACATCAAGTGACTTGTGCGGCGTATATGTATTCGGTGCCTCCTTTTACCAGTATTTATGTGTTCAAATAAACAAATAATTATCAATAAATTACAAAAATTCACTGATAAATACTTCCAACATGTTATATTTCACCATTTTGTATTTCTTCTTCTAGATTTTATTTTTCATTGTTTAAATATTTATATGTATATTTTAAACAGATACATCCTTCCTTAGTCTATTCAATAATCCTGAAATGCGTGTAATTACTGAAAATTTCACAGTTTATCATATATGTGCTCCTGGACACCATGAAAATGCAACAAATATTAGTTTTGGGTAAGTTCTATGTTCATATGACATATAATTAAATTGTATTATATCTGTTCTTTTGTATTCTCTAAATCTGATATTCACTGTCAACTTTTAATTATAGTAGATTTTCTTCTTTTTCGTTTGTCAACATTGTAATTGTATTCTACCAAGAGTTTTTCTGTAAAATGCGTAATGTTCAAATTAAACGTAAATATTATCAGAAAGAGTTTTATGGAGATTTTAGTAATTTTATAGTTGGATTCATGAGTCAGTTGAAGCTAGACTGCCATGGAAAACCTGGAAGCACTGGACAAACGTTTCGTCCTAGTATGAGACTCTACAACAGTGCGCATTCGCCATCCTGCCACGTGAGATTCGAACCCAGGACCTATCGGTCTTGCACGCGAACGCTTAACCTATAGACGTAAATAGGAAATTCGGTTATCAGTTATTGAAAAGATTAATTTAATTAATGAATACGACCATTTTGTTTTCTTTTCTCATCATAAATCTTCCTTTAGCCGACATTGAGCTAAACTCGTTTCTCATTGATGTTATAACTCTATAATTTAGACAATGTTGTATTTTAGAATTCAATCCATGTGTTTTTTGTTTTGTTTATTTACTCGAATCTATTATTAATGTGTGGTGTTTGAACTGTTTAATTCTGGAATAGTGTTGATCCAATGTAAGTGGTTCATAACTCAACAAAACTTGAACACTATTCATATTTTCTCTTACATTTAACTATTAATTATTATTATTATTATTATTATTTTAAGGAGCTTGGATACTGGATTTAAACAAATTACTAGTCTTATCAACTGTTAAATTGTAATAACCACCTATTTTTATGGGAAGAAAACCGAACACTGTTAAGTCCGTCCACCTTAGCTACAAAACATTCCCATCATTTCAAGTTGTTAGTTATAATTTTAGCGTAATTTTTTAAAAAGGAGATTGATACTTGTGTGATGTGTACTATTTGTACGGACAGATAAAAGTAGTATGTATCAGAAATTGGGAGTAGAATTTTTACAGACAGAATGGGAAAATGAGGACATGAGAAAGGGAAACAGAAAGCAATCGAAACGATAACAGGAATGGAGGAACGATGGAGTTTGTAAGGGACAACTCAAGGAAGATGGGCAAATAGTGCTTTTAATGTGTTGTCATGTTTTTCAAATGCAATATGTGATTTTGTATGATACAGTAAGTTGGTTTACTCTAACCAAGTCTTCGTTCATTACACTTGTATTTGTTACGAGTATGATCCAGGTAATACACGGAACATCTCTGTCGAATTGTAAGCGAATATCATAGGTTATATATCCACTTAAGTCAAACGTAATTTCTCATTTCCTCTCTCTCCGCGATAATGATGAATATATAGTTGTCATACTGACAGAAAATATTATAGGTCGCTAGAAAGCTGTTTCAAATCAATATGGAACTACTCAGTAGTGCACTTCCTCAATCTCGTCAGGGATCGGACCCAAAACGTTCAGTTCTCGAGGTTAATACCAAACACTAGAACCACTGGGTCGGCATCCAGTGATACAATTCCAGCTTCAGTCAACTTGTGATATAGACGTTCATCAAATCCCTAAAGTAACGGCTGTTTTACTAGCAATATCTTTAAACTTCATCAGCCACCACTTCTCAATCTTTGATGAGTACAGCCTACAAAGTAAACCAACCTTCACGAAACCCTCTTTAGCTATAAACTATGATAGTCACCTTACTGATGACTGACTTCAAGATCTTCGTGAACTTCTAGTAAAAGTCTTGGCTAGTGGAATTCAGACAGTGATACAGCTTTTATCAATGACATTTTGTGGTCGTCACGCTATAGTGCAAATTGATTGAAATTGGAATTTTACCATTGGTCCTCAACCAAATGATTCTAGCGGTCAAGCGTTCGTTTCGAGACCTAGAGCTTCTAAAACTAACCCTTGGGACGATCGTGGGTCCAAACTGGCAAGGAAATCTCATTCTAGAATAAAACAGCCGTTTAGTGTTCCCTGGTTTTCTATGGTACCTTAAATGAAACCAATCTATGGCGAATACAACCTACAAATTAAACAAACCCCTTCAATCAAAAGAAAAGATTAATTACTTTCAATTTGTTTACAGTATTAATGAATATCAGTTAGATTGAGCAAATTCACGTTATTCTTGGAAATTTATATTAACTTGTTCCATGAATGAATGAACAAATCGTTCTCACCTCAAAAATTTTGTTGATATATTTCTAGGAAAATAAATTATATTGTATTGTAACTTGTAAGTGTGCATAAAATATACAATTTCGGACAACAATTGAATCTGTATATGACCCTAAGTAGATAGTTAACCTATGATATTCACTAACATTCCAACAAATAATGACATTCCATGAACTACCTAGCATATATATATTAGTTGCAAGGACGGAAGTCATTATTGTATGTCTGTGTATGTTTGATAATATAACGAACTTTTCCAAATCTACAAACAATTAGGCTTTTATTTGTGTCAATGTAGATAACATATCAAAGTGAAATGAATAGAATGTTGATTTGTAAATAATTTCAATTCTTTCAACTGATTTTGTGTTACTAACATATTTTTTATTTGACGAAATTGCGCCATCGTATATCATTGTCTTCAGTGAGCTGATATCTCACAACAGACTTGGTTGAATTCCACTGGTAACGGCTTCTCACTAGAACTTCAGGAAATACCTGTTGAAGCCAGTCATTAGTAAGCAGATGATTATTATCAGAAGGGGTTTTGTGGAGATTTTAGAAATTTCACTATTTAAAATTATGAGTCAATTGAAGCTAGATCACCATGGAAAACCTGGAAGCACTGGACGGCCGTTTCGTCCTACTGTGGGACTCCTCAGAAGTGCGCATCTACGATCTCCCTTCCGCGAGATTCGAACCCAGGACCTATCAGTCTCGCGCGCGAGTGTTTAACCATTAGACCACTGAGCCGGCACCCAATGGTGTTATTATTTATTTATTTATTTCAACACATAGATATTGGTACAAAGAGGCACCAAATACATATGCGCCACACAAATCTCATTCGATATGTGGGAGGGCTGTGATACTGCCCGGGTGCCCAAACCGAAGCAGGTGGTTTTCTTAGGGGGCCACACCCCGAGCCTTCGACCTAAAAGTCTGATCCACAAGGCAGTGGAGCATCGTAAGGAGATTCATTCCCATGGAAGCCGGTGACCAACAATTGGTTCATACTCCATTTGTTCCCTCAGGATACTGGAGCCAGCTCATGTGCACCTTTGATTTGAAATCCGGTTAAAGCGCCGGACATTCGCTTTTCGTCCTCTCATTTTCGTAAACAACACCCCCGCCACGAGAAGGCAGTGAGTAGGACTTCCCTGGCAGAGGTTATATACGCGTGGCCATGTGAGTGCATTTCGAGAGGGAGAACGGACTCTCCTCACTCTCGGCCGTACCAGGGTATTTGGGTGTTAATGTCTAACTTCAACCAATCCACGAAATTGCCCCACAGTACACCATTGTCCTCAGTGAGCTGATATCTCATATAACAAACTTTTCCAAATCTACAAACAATTAGGCTTTTATTTGTGTCAATGTAGATAACACATCAAAGTGAAATGAATAGAATGTTGATTTGTAAATAATTTCAATTCTTTCAACTGATTTTATTTAATTTCAATTTCATGAACATCTATCGAAAATTGATATAGTTCAAAATCAATCAATTTCCATCGAAATGTAACTGTTTCATTATTGAAAAATTCATCAACTTGTTTCTTTGTATTCTATTACAGAATATTTCGGTGTCTTTTTGTATAGAGTATGGAATTTCTGTTTGATATTCAGCATTTTCTTGTGTAAATCATCCATTCATATAGTTTGATGACAACATAGAATGTAGAGAAATTAATATTTTATGTGGTACGTAAGTCAGTCAGTCTCAGCCTAGAACCTAATACGTATGTATATCGGTTCAAGTTGCTATACCCCATTAGTACAGGGATGAAATTGTTTTAGAGAATCTCATAGTAGTAAAGGTAGAAACAGCATTAGTAGTAATAGAAAAGATTAAATACTGGCGATACGTTTCAAGGAAATATAAATTAATGGAATAAAAAAATTATGAAGAGTTTAGAAGTTTATAATCTAGAGAAATACAATGAATGGATGCATCTGCGCCATTGCAAATTATTTTGGGTCATAGCATTAAAAGCCTCTAACCACCGGTTATGATAGTCATATGGACCCCAACCAGGTAGTCTAAAACTATTAACATGACTCGGTTCAATTGGCAATGACTTCGTGGACTGATGCTGTGTTTTGGTTTGTCCACCCTTAGCTTTTTTCCAGACTACTGTTACTCCAGACAGCATCGCCCATCGAAGTAGACGGTGAAGATTTACTACCTCATCAATGAGTTTCCCATCCTTACCTAGTAGCCCTAATTTGTGGTTCCAAAATACATAGATAATGCTTCAAAGACACCCATGACCGAATATTAGTAACCTATGAATGTCCTCTATTCTTAATGGCCATGGTACGAAAGTGACCTAATAAAAAGTAAAACGAATTGGACTCATAGATATATGAAGAAAATGCTTGGCATCAAACGGTAGGTTTCATTTCTGTTTATATTCAGGGGCAAGGCATATCCTCACTTTTTGTGAGATTCCATTCATGTCATTCAAAATGGTCTTTATGAGTTACGTAGACTTAGTAGCCACATTAAAACTTGACCAATCCAATTTATTTAGTAATATGGTTTGGGCAGTGGTCGTGGTCATTAATCACTGATCAATTAGTATTACAACTCTGCAAGTTGGGGGGTTTTGTTGGTACTTTCTAGATTGGCTTCATTTTATGTTTTTCACTAAAATTTTGGAAGGAAAATTATGACCTTGTTGGAAATTCGATGTTAGGTGATTGCAGGTAGTCGATAAGAAACACCAGGAAACATCAGCTCCTATAGAATTGCAGGTACGCCTCGGTGACAGTTGTCAACCATGGCATGAATCCACTTAAGAGATCAACATAACGTATGTGCTGTTAAGTCACTTAGATTAGTGGCCACATTGAGACTTCTTCGACAGTGTTCAGTCAACATAAAAGACTAGATAAACGTGACATTAATCACTACTCGATGATCCATCAATTATAGAGCCGAAATTATCAAAGTAACTATTGATCACAAACTTTTAGCTTTTCTTTGTCTACCGTTTTAATCATTTACAAATTGAAGGCTTATAGTAAGGGAGACGATTTAGTGATTAAAGCATTCGGCAATAACAGTTTCACTATGCTAGTTATATAATCCTTTACTAGTTCTGCTTTGTTCTTAGTTTTTGTAAAAACTCACGAGTTCCAAAAGAAACGTTTCCTTTTACCATAACTGTGGAACAGCACAGCAATTTTTTAAGTATCATAGTTTCTGAATAAAGCTCATTTAGCTTCGTCATTCCACTTGAATCAGACGAATAAAATCTGAGGTTTATTTTATTCCAATAACATGATCATAATTTGCATTGTTGATTTCACTAATTTGTTATGTCCCAAAAATTCTACCGAATATTGTCTATGAAATATTCAACGATCTGTTATGTTGTATGCAACAGGCTACATCATAAAGATGACATTCGTTTTTCTAGAGTACTGAAGCCATCATTCTATCCTATTATACAATTCCAAATAGAAGAATACAACTGTGAATCGTTATCTTTTGGATTTCCCTTAATATTAGGAAAATCATTAGATAACAATCAACAAAAGTGTTCATTTGTGAACGTGTTATATTCCGATAAGAATAGTGAATGGTAACTTTTGGGATCCATTTATGGACCAATACTATGCGTACATTTTTATCGTATAATTGTTAACTAACTAAACTATTCATATTCATATCCCTCTAATCATAAGCTTTATTCTGATCTATCAACTATTATTATACGATTTACCATTTTTGAGTTATGTCTAGTCTTTCAATTACAATCTTCCGCATTCGCAGCCACTTTTGGCTAATTCTTGTACAAATGTTGTTTCATATTTTATGGTACGTTGTGGTCTGTCTGGTTGGTATATAAACCCAGTATGCTTGAAGTAAATGATTCATATTGCATAGGCTGAGATTGGTGTTCTGGACTTAACTGGGTGGGCTAGACGGGAAGCAGGACCAATAAGGACTCTAAACTTCTCGTACGGGTTTTATGCGTCACTGGTTCGATCGATAATTCACTGCTCTCTAATTGGTGGTATCATTACGTTATCCATTAACAGGGCACTCAAGCCACTAGTTATAACAGAACGGGTGTTAATTTTATAAAGAAACTACTATATTTTACATAAATCTATATTTTCACTTATCTTTATATATAATTATTTCAATTGTATTATATAAATGGCACATATTTGAAATTACTCTAGATTGATCCCTAAAATAACACCATTATCACCTAATGAGTAAGTTCCAATTCTACACCTGTGTGTATGGAGTTCAATGGGAAAATTGTATTCATTTTGAATTTTTCCTCTAAATGTATTGTCCCCGTAACTAGTTTCCGTGTATGGTCGTTATAATGATCAAGGTGTTTAGTGTTTGTTTGTTTTTTCTTTTAGAAATTGTTTTCACACTTTCTGTCATGTAGCACTTTGTGTTCAGTATTTCTTTTTTTTCAGTGACATTTTGTGGTCGTCACGCTATAGTGCAAATTGATTTAAATTGGGATTTTACCATTGGCCCTCAACCAAATGATTCTAGCGGTCAAGCGTTATTTATTCATTTATTTATCATGAACTGAAGCCAGTTGAAGAAATATTGAAAACTAAGGATCACTAGGAACACTTTAGTAGTCATCATCTACAAGTTCATATGTGATTGAATTACAGTACTTTCAAGTCATATAGCGATCACTAAGTTAGTAGATAATGGTTTTCATTCTCAGTGTCAGTCATTCAGCGTTATAGCGCGACACTAATCCAGCATCTTGATTGGCGTTGTTGGTTTCTACCAATTACAGCTTCTTGCTGTATTCAGTTCATCTTTCTATCTGTCGTTTAGTTTTATGGTTTATAGTGATTACTTCATTATAGGTGAAGTTTTCGCTGATCACATAATACCGAACAACACTTACTGTTGTTTGATGAACACTGAAAGTGCGAAATTCCCATGAAATCGAACCTTGGATTACATAATGATTAGAGATAAGCCAATGAGTCATTAACCGCTTATTGGTTAACATTTCCAACTTCAATGCCTTTTTGCTTTTTCAATAGTCAGTTCATAATTGAAACTCATTTCTACTTGAACTAGTCTCCTCCATAAGCTGTTCATTTGTAATTTATGAGTATCAATTTATTTATTTGTAATATATAGCAATATTTCTATACGTCTCCACTTAATCTTATGTAAGATGCACAAAATGAATGTTGTTTTGTTGTTGTTGTAAATACTCAATGATAATTGTTGTGAAATTGTTTACTTTAAGTTGTTAGTTTGTTTGTTGTTGCAATAAGTGTTTACTATTTATTCTTATCCTTTTTATCCTGAAAATAATTTAGTGAACCTGGTCAAGATCAAGTATTATTATCATCACAGCCAGATATACAGAAACAACGTCAATCAGTTTCATCAGTTACTGGTAGTAGAGGAAGTATTTTTGAAGCAGTTCGTAGAAGATCTTCACTATTAATGAATCGGTAGTTATTTATTTATTTAGATTACACAATGTTTTGTTTCGTTTTTTTTTGTCATCGTTGAACCATCTGTTTGCATATTGTTTTGAGCTGAATACCATTTAATTCTCCCTAATCTATTTTAGAAGTATCTAGTCAGTTGATAATTCTTGTTTGGTAAAAGTATAATATAATGACGTTCTTGGCGACTTATCAGTCGATCAGGAGACGGTTAGCAGTATAAAGTAATGAAATAATAGTGGAATAACAGCTTTGGTCGTAATAATTAGGCTTCACAAGTCAAATTATCCCTTATAATAAAGAAAAAAGGGCAAGTTTACATATATATTAGGAGTCCGGTTAGTGTTATGAGTTATGATTATCACCTCATGTAGCTTTTATCACCAACTGACACTAGAGATCATGCTAAATGGTTAGGTTTAAGTATTAAGAGTCAAACTGGAGTTATGAATTAGGTTTACAAATTAGGTTCATAGTTTTTAACATGAACTGACATCAGCTATAATTGAATGACTTCCCACCTTCCTGTTTGTAAACCTAAAAAACTTAGGGTTAAGATTTAGAACGTGAGTGAAAAAAATAAGGAGAAAATTATCTTGCTTCACAAAATACTTTTCTGGTAAGCGTTTTTTTTAGCGAGTTAGTTTTCTACGGCATGGGGACGCTAACCCCATGCCCAACCCTCCTCCTTTACCCGGGCTTGGGACCGGCAGTAACTCTAGAAGAGCTACAGGCGGAAGTAAGTAAGTCACAAAACACTTGATTATACAATAAACGACATGAAGTACTTTAACACAAAACCTGTTTCAGAAGCAGGTAATCTATATAATTTAACTCAAGCACAATCTAAAATCCACTTTTTCTTTGTCGTATGACATATTTTCATTGATTCGAAGGACCGAATATTTGCCAATTATCACTTGGCTAATAATAACATGTTATTTATTACTGCACTGTAAACTTCATGTAAAATATATAAGGTATCATAATAATTCTGATTGTTTAACTCGAGGCCATCAGTGTTTTATACTTATGCCGTTTATCACTACCGTAGAGTTTCATATTCTTAATGAATCTACTTACTACCAGTTAGTATCACTATCCTATAAACACGTACATGATACATAAATACATGTATAATAGTAATCATAATAATGAGTTCTATGATTTTGAGTAGCATGTATACTCCACTATCAAACTCAGTATTTTCAGATACAGTAGGTTCATTTTAATCACTTAGATATAAGCATTCTTCTTTTTGATTAATGTTAAAATATTTCTTTTTGCTTTGATCACTTTCAACTATGTAAATTTCATTGAACTGTACTGTAGGTTTGTGTTCTATACATTCAGGAAATATTTGTCAAATATAATTTTCATATAAAAATGCCCTGATAAGTATATGTGTATGACCAGATTGTTCGAAATGTATAGCGCAAATACATCACATTTTTCAGATCAACTTCGTCTTCTCATTGTTCTATCGAAATACAATTTAAACAGTATAAAATAGGTTGTATAACGAAAGGTCGTAAACTTTTCATAAATGCACCTGAATAGGTCATTTGATTAATAAACATAATGATATGTTAAAACAAACAGAAAATAGATAACCTCTTTAAATATCTAGATGGTAGGAATAGGTTGCCCAGATATTCAAGCAGGTCGCCTGGCAATATATATATATATATATTATTGTATATTATTTGACTCTGCAAGATATGAAGTTAATCGACTTGATTTACTGTATTAAATGTGTATGACGATACAGTTTTAAACTGGAACGAGATCACTATTTGGTGTTTTTAAATTGTAAGTGGTTTTCCAGTCAATATCACTCCACTATGTCAACAACCGATAGACCTGATTGGGTTGTTTTGCTAGGAGTAATAAAACAATGTGATGTATGCTACTTATGTCGACAGATTTGTCATCTGAATGTATCTTCATCCTAATACCGGTATTGACGCGAAAATTGGAACCTTGTTCCAATCGCTTCAAAAGCCAACACGTTATCCACTAGGTTCATGAGTTCAAATGACAATTATAAACTTATTCGTAAGTCTTTTTATTTTCTCGTTTTTTTAAAAAAAATCTAACTTTACTTGTGACTAACCAGTTATACCGATACAGTCTATTCAGAATCCACATATGCCAATAGAGACTGGTTAACTGCAGCCCTTAATATAAACAACATAGAAATACATACTTTATTAATATCGGTAAGCAATATCATAGGGATAAGTCATATATAACTCCTTGTGTTATTTTTATTAGATATTTTGTTAACTTTTCAGACTTTCAATAGTTGAGACCATGAATCAATTGAAGCTAGACCACCATGGAAAACCTAGAAGCACTGGACGGACGTTTCGTCCTATTGTGGGACTCTTCATCAGTGCGCATCCACGATCCCAACCGCGGGGTTCAAACCCAGGACTTATCAGTCCCGCACGCGATTGCTCAATCTCTAGACCACTGATCCGGCACCCCTTCTGATACTTATCAGATTTTGTTGAAATATTAAAACGTGTGCAATTAGCTGAATAATGTACTTAACTGGAATTATGTTAACTGTGAAACATAATGTAAATGGTTTTATCCAATTTGAAGCTGTTTTATCGACATCTCACATATAATTTTTCAACTTATTATTAGTATTATTATTAATGACTCACTGGAATGCAAAATCATAATTAATAAGAAAGTCACTTATTTCTATGCATCATTTATGTACAAGTGGATATAAATGTTCCTACTAAAAATAACTGATAACATATATATATGTGATTAATTGAGCGAGATCACAGGTCTACGGTGTTGATGAGTCCTTGCCAGCACGAAACTCAAGTTAAATAAGGCATCCTGCCAACTGTCTCCAATCAAAATAGTGCATACTGTAATGCCATGTTTACTAGTGGGAATGTCGAAACTTGGTCGATATGATTCAATGGGCGCTAAGGACTAGACGTATGCTTGACTTCACTCAATGTGCTCAATCAACGTATTTTGTCTAAGTGTTTAAATTCGTTTAATATTCTACTAACCGCCACAAATTATACTACCCTTCGATAGTATTTTATAATTATAACATTCTTATTTACTAGGTTGGTACATATTCATTTGTAAAGCAATTAGTACAGATGTGAATTTTCATCAACTTAGGTAATTGAAATACATAACCTCCTCTCTACATACTGTACTAGATTACATAAGAGTAGGTTGGAAAAAGACTAAAGGCAACTAAATCTATGGTATCGCATCAGTCCAGACTGTTTGAGCCAATGTTAAGAGACGTAGACTTTCTTTTTCAGCCTTGGGAAATGATTGCAGACTCAACATGACATGAATTGAAATTAGATGACTTTATCACAATGGGATTCATTCTCCAATTATTTTTTAGTTTATCATCATCTCATACTTTTAATTCTTCAATTTCACTATCTTTAAAATGTTTTTTCTTACTGCAATTAATTCTGTTGTTTACATTCATCACATTCATTTATATCCAACAAAGTAATATCCTTTGACAATTGATCCAATAATGTCAAGCATTTTCAATTAGGGTAGTAGTATAATAAAGACTTTTTTGTATGCAAATGCTTAAATTTATCTAACTAATACAAAAGGAATTAACATATATAATCACTTAAGGGAAAGTACAAGAGATCATGTTGCCATAGTGATAACTTGGCAAGTTAAGAATTATAAAAAGAATCAAATAGAGTAAAGAAAATATTAAAATGAAATATATCAGTATTTAAAAAATAGGATATTGCAAATATGACCATAAGATAATGCAGAATTATACACTATTTATACTGTACAATCTATGATATCACCTTGTCAACATCTTCAACACAGTTGATACCAACAACTATGAATTTCACTAATCATTTTAATGGATTGAACTGGCTAGCTTCTTTCAGGGTATTTCTCGTTTTGTCATGAGAATTTCCGGCCTAATCGTTGCTAGTATAGTTAAAGCTTCTTCAAGTAGCTATCTCAGAGATAAGACTACTTACAATAAACTATAATTGCTGATCAATACGTGATTAATGTTAATCAGGTATCTGGCGAATAGCACTGATCTTCCAACTGATGGATACTGGATTCAAATCTCGGTAAAGACTATCAATGTGTATTTCACTTTACAGTTGTCTGGTAAATCGATCTGAAAATGTAAAAAACCTTACATTATAAATAATGCATCAATCTTATTCCTCTCAAAATATTCTCAAGTTATGGTAATATGTTTGTTCAATCTCTATTCCCATTTCTTAAAGTATCAGTATAGTCTTCAGACACAAGCTCTGATTGTTTTATACAGCTTTTCCAACCCATATTGTTTTACTTGAATCACTTGCACATAAAAAGTTCTCAAATTTACTCCATCAGTACTCATTTGGATAATGAATCGGCTATCGTAAAAACAAGTTGTTGTAAACTTCCATTATTTTTGTCAAATTAGGAAATCGACAACCCTAGTATTATCCCTACAGTTTCCAAGACTCTTATTGAATTACTAGATCCACTTTTAGAGAAGCATGTTTATTTAATGGGCTGTATACATAAATATTCCTCAAAACTTTAAATCAACTTAATAACACCTACTTTATCCAGTCCGATGTATTCATTGCAAAAAAATTACATCATATATATATATATCCGCCCCCTGGTTGGTGGCTTCTGCTCCTCCACGAGGAGCAACAGACGTAAGTAAATATATATCCACTCAAATATATTAAATACGATTGGCTTTATCCACATATCCAATCATGAAGAAAACAATCCATTCATATACTTGGTTCTTACTTTTAGTAATAGTATAATGGTTATAATTGTATTCATTCTTAACTTATGCATGAATTGATTCCTAAATCTTTAACGTTATATTTAGTTGATGGATATATATTGTCAATTAAATAATGAATTATGTAATAATATACATTGTAACATTAGTTTCTACTATAGATACATATAGTTTGATGTATCTGCGTTTC